GTCTTCCTCAGTAAAAAAAAAAAAAAAAAAGGAAAGAGGATTGGCAGATGTTATCTCAGGGCTGATCTTCCTCACACAAAAAAAAAAACCATAATGCATGTTCAATAAATATTTCTTGATTGATATATTAAATTTTCTTATACCAGGAAATTTATTAAAAGTAGCATGGTGTGGATGCACTTATTGTATTGTTTAATGCTTTAATGCTTTTTTAATGCTTTAATGCATATAACCAAAAAAGTGTTTTTCAGCTCTCCAAATTCTGTGTCTTCTTTAGCCTTTGCTATTAACTGTGCATTTTGATGATCTTCTGCCATTTGATTTCCATCACAACCCAGTGAATTGAGAAAGGTAGATAATTTAACTCCTGGGACTAAAAATTAGAAGCTAAACTTTAGATTAAATGACTTGCTTGGGTTGCACAACTAATCAAAAAAGCTGAGATGAAAACTGACTTCTTAACTTTGTTGTTGTTAGAACAGCACTGAGTAAAATAGGTAGCTCATTCATTGTTCCCACATATTAAACTTGAATTTTAACTTCCATGTGAAAAAACTTATGTGGACATTTGGCCCAGGTAACTTGTAAATTAAGATGAATTCCCATTCATTTTCTTCTTACCCAGAGGAATAAGTAAAAATTGTATAGTTGAGGAGGAATATTTTGAAAGAAAGGAAAAAGGTAAGATGCTAGAATGTTTGCATATCTGAATCAAAGCAGAGTATACTTGCAGGCACTTTACTTTTGGAAAATAATCACTTCTTATTTAGTATCAGGAGACTTTCCACCATAATATTTAACAAATGGTAAACACTTCAGAAGTTTATAATAAAAAATACTTGACTTTCTAGATTAGCTTAATGAATAGTCTAGCCTGTCTCTTGTAAATGTCAAAGTTACATAATTGAGTTTTGCTAGCTTCATAATATTGTTTATGGAGTGACATGTTGTATACACACTCTGTTATTACAAACATTAAACAGATTTGTCAACAAGTGGTGGCAAAAGAATTATAATTCACTCTCTTTGTGAATTTTATTATGTGGAGGAGGAAAAATTGGATGTTTTCCTCCCTGTTAATTGACACGTAGAACAACTCCCTGCCCTGCTTCAATGCCTCTCATCATTTAAAAAAAAAAGCATCCAGCAACAGAGGTATAATTCAGTGTCTGTCACTAGAATTTATTCTTTCTGTATACTTCACATTAATTTTAAGCCCAAATGTAGTTATTAAAAGTTAAGAAAGTATAATAGTGATCTGAGATATTCTGAACCAAAAAGCTATGTGGCAAGAATCACATTAGGTAGTTTTTTTGCAATATATTTTGTTAAGTGAATGGAATTTAAAAAATTTTATTTGTGACTTTGGTTTTCACACAGTAGTACTATTTCTTGAATTTCCTTATATAGTCTCTATGGAACCCTAAATATTTATTTTAAAACAAATCAGGAAAAGTACAATGGAATCCCTTTTCAAATCATGGCAAGTGGGCATGTTTTTGAAACTTTTTGTTCATACCTTCAAGGGAGGGAGTGGGGGAGGGAGATATAAATAGATAAATTGATCAATGGATTGATTGTGTGCATGCACGAGTACACCTTATAACCAAATGTACAAGTGTATGTGAGCTATAGAGTACAAAAAACAAACAAACCAAAAAGCCCTACTAAAACATACCCCTAAATTCAATTTTATACCCAAAGCAGTTTTTAAAGAATTTATTATTATTATTATTATTTTAATGTAATGGGTTCTGCCTTGGATGTTTTCCAAGGCATTTAAATTTTTCTATATTGTGTTAATGACCACTGATAAACTGTTGATAATTAGATTTTGGCTATAATAGTCTTCTTCAGGTTGTTTGTCATTCACTATATCTGGTAAAGAAAAAAAAGTATCTGGGAAATTCTTAACTTTCTAATGTTATTTTGGATTATAAAATCTTAGTGAGCTGAGTGTTGCATATTTGATGAATCATTCTGCACCAGCTAGAAAGACAGATGGGTAGCATACAGTTTAAAAATCTGTGCAAACAGGAGGACAGATGGGTGGTTTAAATGTCTCCATGAAATGTTTGTATGGAGAACTCCTGAAGTTATATTAAAAAAATCCAAGTAATTAATTGAGAAAAATAGAGTTCATATAAAAAGTATTCATATAGAAATATTTTGTAAAAAGTGACATAAAATATGGAATTCATTGAATTCACTAATTCTACTTTTTGAACTTACAGTAAAAATGAATGATTAGAACACAGTACTTAAATACTGTTGCCTGTTAAATGCTTGCTTTATTCTCTTATTGTGAACATGTGAACTCTGGAAAACTTTATTACTTACGATTAATTTATCTGCATAATTGTACATGACCTTTTGAATGTCTGTTGTTAGAATTTGTTGAATTTCAAGTGACAGAAACTTAAACTAGCTTAAAATGGTGAATCAAAACAACAACAAAAAACAACCCCAAAGCAAAGGAACTTAGAAGGGGCTGCTCTGGCAACTTCTGCAGCAGATATTCATGGACTTGTGCTCTCATTCAGGCATTAATGTGCTTTAGCTCCCAGCCAAAGATTGGTTCCTGTTTGGTTGGGTGTGTGTTTTGGATCTTGAGTGTCAGCTTCATGTAGGAGTCTTCTTCTGACTTGTATGGGAGGGGAGAAAAAGGGGTTGTCATTTTAGGGGGAGGCTGTGGGGCTGGCCATAGATATATCAATTGCATTGACTCTTGGGGATTTTTTTTGAAATATATTTCTGTAAGAAGGATGCTAAGTAGCAATGTTTATGGGTAAATAGATATAGTATTCTATGACAAGACTTATAGTAACTGAACACATAGGAGAATGTGTTTCTGAGAATGTTAAAAATCATTTGTGATCAGTATTATTGAAGTGATTTATTAATTAAGTTAAAAAAATTATCCCTAGTGCCATACAGAGTGAGTTAAAACTTCTCTAGGGATTTATATTAACTTAGGCAAAAAATTTATTGGTTTCTGAATGAATACCATAAAAAATCCAAAATTCAAATGTAGTAGAATTTTAAAAAAAATCACAGGGCTTCCTTCATAGTAAGAGGAATGATTATTTCATGAATTTCTTATTTCTAGTTATATATTTTAAAATTCGTATGATTATTTACTGGTTCATGACATAAAATATACTATCTTGTGGGTTGTAGTCAAAAAGTGAGAAAACCCACTTCTTTAGTGGCTAATACTATTTTTTTCTGTTTTCTTCAGAGCAGAACTGAATTGATATATTTGCTCCTATCCTCCCACTCTAGTGTTAGAATCTCTTTCCACTTAGCAGTGAGATGGGTTAGGAAAGATACTCTGGTGATTGAATTATTTTCTCAACGAGAAGTTCTTCATGTTATAAAGTGAAATAGGCTATTTAAGGCAACATTTTGCAAATAACTTGGACAGTTACTAATATCCCCATGTGCAGAAACCAGCTAATGGACTATGGCTAGAGAATTATGCTCTGTAAAATAATTATGTGCAGCTCCCTAGGAGAAGTCAGTGGTGGTTCTAGTACTTGGAAACACTAGAGTTTGTTGGTAGTCAAGACATACCAGTCAGCTGGAAAGGTTTGTTTCCTTTTCCATCAGCTGGATATGGGTCCTGTGCCTCAGAATTAGAGGAGTGATGAGAAAGGCAAGGGAATTGTCCTTCTCATTCGGTTGCTCTACCTGGACATGGTCTGGGGAGTCTGAGGTCTCTTCTCTCTGCAAAATCCCTGACTTTTTCTCTTCTTTTGGCCCTGGACTAGAGACATTCTCCAATAGAGAATGTTTTTCTGACTCCTGTCGATAGGGAATACTCAGATGAGTGCTGAGCCTAAACAGAGTGGTAGCAGAGGAGAGCCTCTGTGGTCAAAAATTCTCAACATAAGATTTATTTCTGGGAGAAGATTCTTTTGCAGGACTGTCCTTGGAAAGAGGGCAAAAATTAATAAATATTTTGAAAAGTTTATTTTCTAAGTCAAAATAATTAACAAGAAATATCTGTTCAGTTTGCATCAAAAATTGAAGATCTGCTTTAAATTTTCATTTATTTATATAGTCATTCATTTATATTGTCAATCGGTAAATATTTTCTGAATGATTTTAGTGAAGGAACCACAAAAAGTTTTAGTTCATAATATTATCATTATCTCCTAGACTTCTCCCACATCAGATAGTGTAAATTTCTCTGCTTGATTTCCAGGTTATTCACAACCTAAAATTGCCCTGCCTATGCAGACATATTTCCTTCACTTCTTCAAAACTTGCTCTCTTGGAGCTTATTTCTTTGCTTGCCTGTGTAACATTGCTTATTCTCTCCGTGTTTTCACTCAGTATTCCAAATCACTAGACCACAGGCTCTATGTCAAGGACTGTGTTTTACCAGAAACTGAATTCTCAACGTTTAGCACAGTTCCTGGTGGTGATCAGTTAACAATATTTTCACTGAAAGACAGGAAAGAAAAAAGGGAGAAAAAGAAGGTGAGAGGGAGGAATTATTGTCTATTCTGTCTTTCTTATACCGTTCCGGACTTGCCTCATCTTTTAAGATCTGTTTTCTTCGCAGTCTCCTCTGACTTCCCTTGCCTTGATTGATATCTTAAACATGGACCTCAAAATTTAACACTATTTACAAACTTTCTTGTTTTCTTGGTTATACAGTTCATGTGCATTGTTGTTCCAATTTGGTGTAAGCTCCTTGAAGATGAGAAGGATTGTATATCTGTACAGTTTTACAAAAAATTGTACATTAGCTTTCACTCACCAAACTTTTACTGCAATGCATGCTTCCATCAGTGCAGCCTCTGTACAAAGTACTAGCAAATAAATAGTACTTTGCATAGAGCTGAGCACATAGTATATGTTCAGTAAACTTTTGATTATTCATAAAATATGTGCGATAGCATAAAATAGTGGTAACCCAGTTTGCACACAATGAAGATAAAACTTTTTTTTATTTTCTCTATGCTAACTTTCTTCAACAATTTCTTAAGGGAAAGAAACTGAAAAGGCCAAGGAACGTTACGACAAAGCCACAATGAAACTTCATATGTTACATAATCAGTATGTATTGGCATTGAAAGGGGCACAGCTTCATCAGAATCAATATTATGACACCACACTTCCTCTGCTTCTGGACTCCTTACAAAAGATGCAAGAAGAAATGATAAAAGCACTGTAAGATACATTTCCTATTTGACATAAAATGATTTTAACATTATTTTCTTCCCTAGTTAAGCTTTTGTATAAACGTTGTCTGTTTTGTAATCTTCCTTATTGACCCAGCCCAATGGATGTTTCAAACCTGTTTTACTTTAGTCCTTGAGTTTTACTTCTGAGATTCCTTCAGTTTCTGCTCATGTCCTTTACTTTCTAGCTAGCATCAAGAGTTGTCCTTCTGTTTGTATGTTTTTGTTTTGCTCCAGTTAGCTGGAAATTTAAATGAAAAAAAAATTCATTAGTTGATAAGTGTTAAGAAGTGGATATCTGTCTCCAGATGGTTGGGTGTTTGTCTTGAGCAACTGAGAAGCTCAGTTGAAGGAAGGGAAAGAATTTTTTGAAGGTTTGTTTGCCATCTTCTTATTGGATGAGATCAAAATCAACAAATGTTTATTGAAGTTCTACTATATGTAAAGCACACTGCCTGGTTCTTGGGGATATAGAGATGAGTAAGCCACAATTTTTACCTTCAAGGCGCTAACAATATACTCTGGTTGTTAAGTCCAACACATACACGTTTTCTGTACATCTTGATCCAAGACAACAGAAAAAGATAAGCCACCCTTTGGTAGACTTCATTTCCCTTATTAGCTGGTTTAGATCATCCCCCGTTTTCCCAATAAGAAGATAAATAAAATGTTTTAGTCAACTTCAATATGTAAACTTTCAGAGTTTTGATAAAATAGTGAAATATCTACTTAAAGTATTTAATTCATAAATTTGGTTGTGTCTATTTTAAATTACATATTGTTGATTCAGAAATCTTTCCTTTCCTACTCTCCTTTCATGAATCATTATTTTTTCATGAATTTTCAATAACGGTATCTTCGTTGTCACCAGAACATCTTTTTGATACACATAATAGTTTCCCACAGCGTATTATCTTTACTTTCTAATAAATTATTTTAGATCTAGCATTTAAAAAATCCAAGCATGGTGATATCACTTAAATTGAGTCCCATGTCATATGTACTCATTCATATAACATTAGGTGACTTCTTCCTTTTGTTCTACCATTTATCTTAAAGGTGAATATTAATGATTTCCACATCATAACCATGTACTGTATTGCTTTATAAGAGTTATCTAGATAGGCTCATTTACATTAGTATCATTCAGTACTTTCAGTTATGAGGTCATAACCCCAGTGATATTTACTATATCTCTATTAAATTTCTCTGCCTCCTCTTCTTTAAATTGTGTCTGTCAAGTGATTTCTGTAATCATTCCAAACTAGCCTTGCTTGAAGCAGTTTAAATCTAATTTTTTTTTACCCAAACGGTATATTGCTATTTAAAATAAAGTAATTGAGAGAATACTTCATAATAAGAGAAATTTTGTAAAGATTACTTTTTTTTTTGGTGAGGAAGATTAGCCCAGAGCTAACATCTGTTGCCAATCTTCCTCTTTTTTGCTGAGGAAGATTGGCCCTGGGCTAACATCCATGCCCGTCTTCCTCTACTTTATACGTGGGATGCCTGTCACAGCATGGCTTGATAAGTGATGTGTAGGTCTGCACCTGGGATCCAAACCTGCGAACCCTGGGCCACTGAAGCAGAGTGCGCAAACTTGATCACTATGCCACCGGGCTGGCCCCAAGATTACTTTTTTATGAGTGATGATTTTGGAAAAGAAAAGCAGACAATGCTTTATATTTATTTGGGCACATGCAGGATAAGCTTGTCTGTCTACACTTGTTGAGGCGACTAATGACCAATGGTGTATTTTTACAGCATAGCATTCTTAAGTTGGCGATAGGGTCTTTGCAACAGAAGAGTTTTCCCTTTTGCATTCATTAACTAAGGCTAATCAATTTTATGACTTTTTTTTTTTACTACTGACTGGAGGTCAGGAGGAGAGATCTAGATGTCATTGAAGGTACAGACCCCAGTTGAACTCTCTAATTAAGTATACAGAAGAGAGCAGAGGCCCAGGAGCAAGAGAAGGCCCAAGAGGTAGGGCATGTGAGGACGTGGCACACACTGGAAAGAAACATTAAGGAGACAGGAGTTGATCCAAAGTTCCAGGTTATGGAATCCAATATTTCTATGATAATGTTTAGAAATAGAAAGTGATCGACAGTGACTTTCCATTTTGAACATGTCAAATACATGTTGGAAAAGGTAATGTCTTATTCTAGATAAATTACAATTATTATATTATATCAAATGTAAGTTATTAACCTGTACTTTTGTATAATCCCTTAACTTTACTATCCAGGTGTATGAAATAAGGTGATGCATAAAACCACCATCTGTAAATATTGATATTACATGTCTTATGTTTATTGTTCTGAATCCTTTTTGGGCCTGTGTTTCCCTTGATAAACTTTAAAATGTAAAATTTTATTTTTGTTTTCAGAAAAAGTATATTTGATGAATACAGCCAGATAACCAGTCTTGTTACAGAGGAAATAGTGAATGTCCATAAAGAGATTCAGATGTCGGTTGAACAGATAGACCCTAGCACAGAATACAATAATTTTATAGATGTTCACAGGTATGTGTGATATTTTCATTCTTCTTTCAGTATTTATGACAGCATTATTTTTTTCTTCTACCATATAATATTTAACCAAATTAAAATAAGAAATAGTGAAGAGCTTATTAGGACATCAGATATTTCAGATTAATTTGTCTTTTTTTTTGCTGAGGAAGAGTCACCCTGAGCTAACATCCATTGCCAGTTCTCCTCTTTTTTTTCTCTTTTCCTTGGTGAAGATTAGCTCTGAGCTAACGTCTGTGCCAGTCTTCTTCTGTTCTTTTGTATGTGGGTCACTGCCACAGCATGGCTGGTGAGTGGAGTAGTTCTGTGCCTGGGATCCGAACCTGTGCAACTGGGCTGCCAAAGCAGAGCACGTGGAACTTTTATCCACTCGGCCATGGGGCCAGGCCCGATTAATATGTCTTTTTATTTTCAAAATCTTTTCTCAGTGATGATAACTATTTAATTTATACAATGATCTTTAAAAATTTGTCAGTTGTTACTATATCATTGCCTAAACCCATATTTAATTCATAAACTTATATTTTCTTTTTAACATTTATATAATAATAATATTATGACTCTATATGTGTATTAAACTTTATGATGCACCAATTACTTTTCCATGCATGCATCATCTTATTTTATACTCATTACCATTGTGATAGGAATAAAACAGGTTAATATTTGCATTCTACAAATGAGGAAACTAAGGTTGAAATTACATGACTAGAGCTTTGGTGCTGGTGGTTTAATTTGATTTATTCTATTTCTGTTTACTTTGTTGACATAACTTTGGATAAGAACAAATATTCTGCCTTTGGTGTGTAGTAAGATATATTATGATAGTATATTTATATTGATCAAAATTATTTGGCATGCTTTACTAGAACAACGGCTGCTAAAGAGCAAGAAATTGAGTTTGATACTTCCTTACTAGAAGAAAATGAAAATCTTCAGGCAAATGAGATTATGTGGAATAATTTAACAGCAGAAAGTTTACAAGTAATGTAAGTGTTTAGAAAATCTGAAAAGTTCAAATATTCGTGTTGTTATTTATAGTTGTACTTTATCAGATTTAAAATTCCAGTTTTTGTCTTTTGCAAGTAATGAATAGTAAATTAAAAACGAACTGATTGTTGTTTGGTCAGAATGAAATGTTTTGAGAAATATGTTAATTTTACTTATTATCACTAATTTTGGTAATTCTGAAAATCAAAATTCTGTGTGATATTATATTTATTTGCCCAGTTGTTGCTAGTATCTTATGTTGGAATAATGCTTTATTCTTTTCAAAACTTATTTATTTTTATCCCATTTCATCCTCAAAACTTATTGGCAGAACCATTTTGGAAGTGAGGACACTGAGTGTTAGAGATAAGAAACTCATAGATGTCAGAAGCTTTTAGTACAAAAATTTGACTTTTAATTGAGTTTTTTTCTCTTTAAGCAGGGGTGTCTTCTATTATAGGCTATTAAATCAATTCCTTCTTCACTTTGTTGTTACTGTTGCACAGAATTTTAAAGGAGTTTTGAGAAATCTTAGTGTGTTTTTTAGTCCTTTTCAAATATTCAAGGCTATTAATAGTACATTTTTAAATTTAGAAAACATAATTAAGGCATTCTATTTTTAAATATTTAACCTATCTCTTGATTTTTTTCAGGAGCAACACAAAGAAACTTATGTTTATTAATAAGCACTGTATGTACTTGTCTCTGTGTCAGAACCATAGCTAGAAATGATTATGCACTCCTTTTCTCGTCAATATTGGACATGTTATATTATCTGACCTGTTGGAACTTTACCTCAAAAGACTCAGCCAAAAGTCTCCATCCAATATAATTAGACAATATCCTTTCTGTTGTTCAGTAACATTGTAGTGTTAGAGATAATTAACCGAGTGGTAGGATCCTGGGACTAGCTCTTGGAAATGAATTTAATATCCTTAAAGTTGGCCAGATGGGATTGAGGAAACTAACAAATGCTTGTTGAATCACCTGTATAAGATGACGGCTTAATAATTATGGTGGATTGACTGTTGATGGGAGGAATGGAGGCATGGGAGTACCCTGCATTAGAGGGTTTTTCCTGGTAGCCATATTGGGATACTTGAAGCTGTTCCTCAAGTTTTGAAGTTTTTCACAGGAGTCTCGCTTTGGCTTTTTAGATAGAGTATTTTTGCAATGTCAACTATTTCTAAACCAGTGGTTCTCACCCAGTGGGGGCAATTTTTGTCCCCAGGGACTTTTGACAGTATCTGGAGACATTTTTATTTATCAGCTGGGAAGGCATGACTTGTATCTAGTGAGTAGAGGTCATGGATGCTGCTAAACATCCTATGGTGTACAGGTCAGCCTTCTACAACAAAGAATTATCTGGCGAAATGTCAATAGTGCCAAGATTGAGAAACTCTGCTCTAAACAACTGAACAATTGAATGCATGGCAAAAAATGGATGGTAGACTTTCTCAATTCTTGTGCAGTGACAAATTCTATTTCTTAATTCCTGTGCTGCTTGGTGAAGGAATATGTCATAAATTACCCCTGTTTTTTAAATCATTATATTACTCCTACCTAATTTATTCATTTATTCATCAAAATATATTTGCTGTGTATTTAAGGTTACAAGGTTAATACTTTCAAGGAGTTTATGCTAAAATTGATCAATTTATTTTAATAAACAGCAAGAAAGAATGAGTATATAGATATTAGAGTGTAATGTGGTAAAATTAAAAATAGCTACCTGTTATAAGCTTATGTAAAAAAGAGATTTTGTGACCAAAGAAGAATTTGTTTTATTGCTTTTCAGGGTATAATGAGAGCAAAACTAGTTATGCTTATCAATCATTATTTCTTAATTATGGTGATGAAGCAATGAACAAAAATGTAATAAATTAAGGATAATAAATCTTTGATAATGTGATAGAAGATTTAATTGCTTACATCTTACTGAGGCAAAACTTCAGCTACGTTTCACTGAACAGTGTTTAAATTCTGGATATAAGTTTAAGATTAGGCTTTCCTCAAGAATTTTATTCCAAGAATGAGTTATTTGCTGTTAAGATAATCTAAGGTAATTCCGTTAAAACCTAAATATATATATTTTTAACGTAATGAAGAGAAAAATCTTACTTTAATTTTATCATAATATTAGTGCTTTAAAATTAAACTAGTATCTTTTCTTTCCTAGAATTTTCTTGTTGATTGTGTTGAAATATTATGTCTAATAGAAATGAATGAAACAAATGAACACATAGTTCCTGGAAAAATATTTGCAAATGGCCAATAACCCTGTGACAATTAAGAAAATACAAATTTTTTAAAAAAAAGCTATTTCACCTACCAGATTGGCAAGGATTAAATAAAGTCTTGGCAGAAATGTAAATTATTATAAATTTTTTGGAGGATGATTTGGCAATATATATAAAAATTCAACTTGCACATACTCTTTGACTTAGAAATTCTACTTCTAGAGCTTTAGCCTACAAGTATGCAAAGATATATGTACAAGCATAACATAGTGGGTTGCCCAGGTCTGAATCCTGACAGTATGGCTTATTATCTTTGTGAAACTGAACAGGTTATTTAATCCCTTTATGCCTCATTTTCCTTACATGGAAAATGGTAATAATAATGGCACCCAACTCATAGTGTTGTTGTGAAGATTACATGCATGAATAAATGTAGAATAATGAGACTAGTCCCTGGCACATAGTAAGTTCTATGTATTGCTTTTGTTTTTTTATTGCTGCTTGGGGTGATTTTATACATTAGGCTTATATATAAGGACTCTAAGCACAATGGTTAGGTATTTCAGGGTCCTGTGGAATCTGAAAAAAATTTTTGTTGCTTCTAAAATATGAAAAGAAAACTGTTACAAGGTATAATATTATATCATCTTAGTTATTAAATTCAGTATACAAAAAAATATTTCAAACAATTTGTAGGTTAGATTTTTTCACTTTTTAATTTCTGCGTATTTGGATAGAGGTCAAGGGCTATAAAGGTCCCAGAACTGTCCCTTTGTTTTGGCAAAACACTAGAAACAGCCTAAATATTCATCAATAAGGGACTGGTTAAATGAATTATGGTATAGCCACAATTTTTCAGTATTATATATAGTTTTAAATAGGATAGGTTTATATATATGCTTGTATGGCAAGATCTCCAAACTATATGATAAAGAACAAAAACAGGTTACAGAATAATATTTATGGAATGAGTCTGTTAATAAAAAAATAGTACGTATGTGTTTGTATGTATATATAGAACATATCTTGGAATGGAGGGGAATGGATGGGATAAGTAGTGAAGCGTATTGGGGCCAATATTTATAATAATGTTAAATAAATGTGGTTTTATTTCTTATCTCTTTGCAGTTTTATTGTTAGCACGACTCTCTCCAGAACATTAGCTTTTTTCCTCTCATTGTGTCAGTTCCCTCTCCTTTCACTAAGCCTTTGTTCCTGGATCACATTGCTTTATGTAGTTTTAGAATAGAACACTCTCAAAAGCTCTATTTGAAAATGCTTATATTTTATGGCCTGTGCTTCCCTGTGTTCTACATTTTTCTTTAGCCCATCTAAGAGCTCTAATGCATTAATAAGGAATAGTATTAAGGAAACAGTTTTCTTTTTGTTTTTCATTCCTTTATGTTTGTTTAAGTGATCGGTGACCCTGTCCTATGTGAAAGGTTACATTAGTTTGGAAGTGAGAATCATTAATTTCTGACTCCTGGAGAATTTTTCTGTAAATAGGAGTCATACTGGCATTCTGCCAGACTGCTGATTTGTAGTGACTATGAAACAAAGAAAAAACTGGACTGCATTTCTCTTGGACTCTTCAGAAGTCTTGGCTAGATGTCAGATGTTGCAAATAATTAATTAACATCTTTGTTGAATGAGTGAGTGAATGAAGATGATTTTATGGAGAGATTTCAGGGAGTTTCTGAATCGTGGATCTCATCTCTAGCTTCATGTTAGGATCACTTAGGGAGCTTTAAAAAATGCTGATGCGGGGGACCCAACCCAAACCAATTAAATCAGATTTTCTGAGGGTAAGATCTTGGCATTGGAATTTTTTGTAAACTTTCCAGGTGATTTTAATGTGCAGACAGGATTGAAAATCTCTGCCATAAGCCCACAAAAGTTGTTTGTAGAAATGTGTGTGTTAGTTTCTGGGGGGAGAATCTGTGCAAATTTTCAGAGGGCTTCATGACCCAAAATAGCTAAGTAGTACTGCTCTACTTGAATATCTATCTTTCATATTTAAAGAATGTTTTTTTGTTAAACTTTTCTAGTGAACTTATATTCCTCAAATTATATAGCGTTGTTGGGGGAAAATTAGCATTTTTACAATAGTCTAACTGGAATTCCTTTTTGACTATTTGCTTTTGTTTCTGATATGCCATACTACTGGGCCAGTCTTGATTTGTAAGATGGTTGAAGTTTAAATAGATGCCCTTTCTCTAAGGTTATCTCTTTCACTCTTTGCTGGTCACAAAAAGATACCTTTAAATTTTTTTCTTTTTACTTTTTTTTTTAAGATATTTAATTGTAACATAAAAATTGTTGTTTTCATTAGCAGAAACTAATTCATAAATTTAATAATTTGTATTCTTGGTTTCTGTTTATTGTATCATGTAGAGTTTTCTCAAATAGATGTAAGAGGTTCTGAGATTATTATACAACTAGTATTTATATCCAAAACAAGATTATACAGTGTTGCTGACTGTGCTTTTTTCAGGCTTGATGGAAATCTAATGGTATAATAGTAAATGACAAAGTTACTGCATTTACCCATCCAAATATGTTCCACAAAGCATTTTATCATACTCTCATTATTTGTCTATCAAATATATTTATAAAGGTGTATACATATAGAAGAGTTAAAGTCAATTATTTGTAGGATTATTTCCTATTCATAGGAACTTTTTTTGCATGGTAGATCACGCTGTGGTAGAGGGCTATTTCTCAGCCTCTGATAATTTCTAGCACTGGATACCTGAGAT